GATTAGAATCCAAGAAATAGCAGACAGATATTTGAGACTCTTCTAGTCGAACCCATCCATGACTCTATTAGGAGACGAACACAGGAATTTCTGTTCTATTTAATAAGTCAGAAGATAGTTTATCTACTAGTTCAAAGGCTAAGACTTCATTTTATCCAGATCAGTCTGATTAATTTATCAGGACATAGTGTTCATATAGTCCTATTCACTTACGATATATATACATCTGACGATATAGTAAAAACACAATGTGAGTGACCGGACTGAAGAGTGAGGTGGCTAGTTTAATTTTCTGACCAAATTTTAATGTATGTCAATCATATTCCTTTATTCTTCTTTGATATGCATGTGTAGGCTGAGACCTTGAATTGGTGCATAGTCGATTACATCCAATGGATTCCCATGTTTATAATTTGGTACTTGCAATTTAACCCTCAGATGGAATATAAATACATGTATAATGATAAGTCTTCCTAATTGAGCGTTAGATTTGGTTCCTAAGCTTTTCTACTAACCCCCAGACTATTTGAACACAAGAGAAAAGGCATGAAATATGCAAGAAACACTTTAATCCAAATGTTCGTGTATGTACAGAAAATCTATGGTTTTTAAAGTATTTTAAATGTCCTTGGGTTTCTTGAAAATTCTGGAATGCTACTAAACATAGTAGCAGTATAAGTAATCATTCAATCGCAAACTCTACATATGACTTTACACTTTCTCGATGTTTCTAGCATAACTTCCAGTGATCCTTGGTGTTTCTCAGTGTCTTAAGAACCTCTCTTGGCTTTTTTCAAGGAATTTTCTGGATCATCCCAACACATATTATATCCCTATTATGTCTCAGCCTATCACCTTCATATTCCATCAAATATTCCAGCTTTTTCAGGATTCAGCTGAGGTGATGAAATATAGTTTCCCTCCTTAAGTCCAATACATAAAATTGTAATTGATGAATCTAAGAACACAAAACAGTTTTTCTTTTCTTTGTAAGTGAACATAGTACATCTTAACTTTGCATGGCAATTCACTGAATAATTCTGTAAACCAATGACTTCATTCAAGTTCATAGAAGAATAAAGAAGTTTTCTATTTCATTAGTCTGTATTTTAACGACGTATTCATTATTTCATCAAAGTAAGTAACAATTTCATTGATTAACAACTAATGATGTGATCGTGATCGATATTGTGATATTAGCAGGCTAATCTATTCACTATCTTTTACAAAACAAAATAAATAATACTAATCATTAATTCATAAACTACTGAAAACAAGGTAGGAGTAGTACTATAGTGTATGGTATCTAATGTTAACGGATATAAGTAGCATGTATCATCAATTGATAATGAAATGCCTAGTGTCAAGTGGTTGAGAAAATTGAAGAGAAAAGGGTGAGAATATAATTTATGGACGATCTTTGGGTGACGCTGAAGTGACCTTGAGAGTGAACAACTACTAATTAGGACTAAATGAGGGTTATAAAGCAGTTTAAATTCCCATTTACTGTTGATAGTTAGGGTTAAAAATTAGATTTTCATCACGAACTGACATCAGCTATAATCCCAAAACTCTATTTAGCCAAATGTATGGGTCAATTCCGCGCCCAAATTCGTGACTCGTTATCTTATATCTAATTGGTTCGTCCATAAATTATGGTCTCACCGAGAAAAGAACAAGGATTGGTATAGAAACAACAGAACAATAAAGTCTGAAACGATTGATATTTTGTGATTTTATGTTTAAATACATTCGATTGTCCGCATTTGTGTTCTCGTTCACTACAATATTGAATAATCGTTTAATCCTTATTTAAACTTCTTTAATGATGCATGTGCACTATAACTCATGAAATTGAATCCAAGATATTTTTGGCTTACCATAAATACTACACTAAATTTAATCTCTGGAGTGAGATATAAAAGTTTGTTTCTTTAGGGTTACGATCAAATCACGACATTGAACGCATAAATTGTCACGTTTTCAAGCCTATCTGAGTCCGAGTGTTCTATAATCGTTATCACTTTCATACCTCAACCAATCCACGAAATTGCGCGACCATCTTCCATTGTACTGAGGTAGATAACTATCTCCACGCAACAAGAATTAACTCCACTGGTAACGGAGTGTTTATCCAGTAGACAATGAACAAGTAGCAAGAAAGGATTTTATTAACATTAATATCCTTATAGAATTGGTAACCTTGACGGATGTGTAATGGTGAATAATTCCATAAAATATATAGACAACAAAACCTGATGGTAGTGAGCTTGATCAATAGCGGAGTCGTATATGCATATCGATGAGGAGTTCTATATTAAGATGATGTAGTTGTCTAATGCATTTTATATTCCAATGGCACTTCAAATGAAGTAAGTCTACAATTTTGAATTGTTAAATCTATCAACCCTCATAATTCTCTAAACTAATATATATACATTCATTTTTCGGCTCTCATTATTGTTCAATTTTAACGTAAATCAAAGAACGAATTGAATTTTCATAGACTCAGAATTTAGGCTTATGGGCTTCCTTAAGCCTTATTAGGTAGAAGATATTCTTTAGAAAGCTTTGCCTCATCTAGATATCGAGCTTACTGATACTCTTCAACAAGGAGTATGAATGATATGAAGGGAAATTATGTTCTTCGCCGAACTCGGATCAACTTTATTCGATTTCCCAGTCGGAGATGTTAACACTGAGATATTCAGGTTCAGACTGATCTGATGTAGAAATGATTTGTTTACGATGAATAAATTGAGTAGTGGGCAATTGCATGTTTGTTTAGTTTTTAGCGCTGATCAGAATTCTGTCCATCATTTCATATATAGATTTCTTAATGAATATTTTTCTGGTTTAACCTCTCCCATTTCTTATATAAATTTGTAATATAAGGTCAATGTTTGATCGGATTGCAGTTCGAAATGTATTAAGTTAATATCATCACATGATTTTGATAAACGTTGTCTTCTCATTATAAACACACATCCGCTTGTACTACAATGTTTGAGGAAGTGGATCTTGTTGAACTGGTGATTTGAATAAATTCGAATCTTGAAGGGATAATTTTGTTTGACACTTTGAAAATCTTCTAACGTGGATGGAAATGATAAATGACTTTAGTGCAAAATGTATTTTTGAATCCAAGAACTACAACGGAGCCTCTAGAGGCCCTAAAAGAGCTGAAGTGTTTCTATCTAATCAGAACACGATGGAGCTTTCTACAATATCAACGTGACATGTTGATATTGGACAGTAGCATAATATGTCACTTTAAGGATTGGCCAAATCACAATGTTGATTTAACAAATGCTAATATCTATAAATACCCGTGATTTCATATACATTTCGTTTCACAACAAATAAACACTTCTCCAGCTTTTCGTCTCTCTTCTGATTTGCGACGCTAAAGTTCCGACGTTCGAGTATCGTAGTCGTAAAACGTATTCTGCGTTAATCAAGTAGCGAACATAACAGTATTATACTAATTAATTTGTTTGCAGTAAAGATATTGAACTACTTTTCAAATATCTTTTCGGAGAAATATCATAAAACTCTTGTGGAATTCAACATAAACTGTTTTACTGATATTGAACATCTTTCTCTCGAGATGAGACCTTTCAAACAACTACTAATGGTTACTTGTTGTGATTAAGTGACTTTATTGTTTCTGGATATGATGTAGTAAATGGTTTACGATATTTCCCTCTATTACACGTATATGATAATAATAAATTAATGCGTCAATAAGACTGATTACGTTAGATCGGAACCAGGATTCACGACCCGAAATAGAGAACCCAAATAATACTAGAGAATACTTTATTCAATGCAATTACATGCAATCACATACAATGAGTCCAGAGTAGAAATCAATGACAGGAAAGAAAATCACATATTTAATAATCCGTAGGCTGTAGTTGTTTACACAAACTCAACGACTAATCATACTTTACTTTCACTACCATACAGGACTGATTGTGCTAAGTTTCTATCATAACCTGATGAGGATAATGAATGGTAACTGTTGGAATCCATTTCTGAACTAATACTATACATATATTTTTTTTATTGTATGACTGTTAATTAACTGAACTACGCATATTCATGTTTCTGTTATTATAAACTTTATTTTGACTCATAGACTATTACTATACGATTTAGCATTCTTGAGTTATACCCAGTCTACTAATTACAGTCTCCTACATTCAAAGCCACACTTGGCTAGATCTTGTACATATATTATTTGCTATTTTATGGCACGATGTGGTCTGTTTGGCTTGTACATAAACCCAGTATGCTGGAATTACACTATTCACATTGCGGAAGCTGAGATTGATGTTCTGCAATCAACAGGCAGGAATGTTGTACATATCACATTTATTCAAATGACCAATAAGCATATTTATAAATAGACTACTAAGCCTAGAACATGGAGTGTTTCAAAGTTACACAGTAAGTAAACAAATATGAGAATAAGACATAATATGGGCAAATAGATCCTTCACTAATTCATATTTCAAAACGGGTTTGGGTATTATTTAGATCCCCTTAACTATACATAAATAAATACATGAGAAATATAAGTACTGATAGATTATTAATAACACTTCCTACACTGTTCTTTGCCCTTTCTAATCTAGAAGTGTCGGGAAATAGCTCAGAGAATTGGCTGGTATATACATACATATCATACATCATTGGTGATTGCTTGTTCACCGATAGATATATGGATAATATAACTAATTATTAAACCATAATACAGTTCTATTTAAGTTAAAAACGTGCCAGAACAATAATGATAATAAGGTGAAAAATATATAAAAAGTCAAATTAGTCAAAATGGGGTTGACTTCATTTCACACCGCCATCAACTATCATTTACATATCCGCGCATAAATCTATTCTATATACATTTGATTCGTTTCTATAGAAAGATATAATGGATGGGTTTCTGTTAAGTACACTTATAGTTGAGCATCGATCGTTTTTCATTGAACAAATCATGTTTACTCCAGAATGAAGCTTCTGATTTATCAAGGAATAAATTAGCTTCAGATATATCTGTATGTATTTGTTTAATTAAATCCGCTAAAGTTGTCAACAACAAGTTAAAGGAGTAAAGTGATTAGCAAAGAAGAAAATATTCATCATTATGTAAGTAGTTCACAGTTTAACAAAACAATCGAACAAAAAAACACTTGTCAAATATAAGTTTTATGTGTTTATTATTATTTAAACACATAAACATTGGCACAAGGAGGTACTAAATAGATATGCGCTACATAAATCATCCAATTTGTATGAGGGCTGGGATACTGCCAGGGTGCCCAAACCGAAACATGTGATTTTCTCAGGAAACCACACCGGGAACCTTCGACCGAAGGGTCTGATCCATAAGGCAGTGGAGCAACATAAGAAGATGCAGTCTCACAGTAACCAGTGACCAGTAATTGGTTCATACTCAATTTGTTCTCTAACTCCGCCTGGAGTCCCTCCGGGGGCTACTGCCGGTCCCAAGCCCGGATAAAGGAGGAGGGTTGGGCACGGGGTTAGCGTCCCCATCCCGTAGAAAACTAACTCGCTAAAAAAACGCTAACCAGAAAAAATTATTCAAACCTTTTAAACTCTGCCCTGGGAGTCAGAAGGTCTTCATTTAGAAGAACTATGACGCCTCATGATGAAAGCCGAATTCCTTCGGAAGTTACGAGGCCGATGCCCCTTCTGATAACCAGAGCGACCATTTATTTTGGTACATGGAATGTTCGTACAATGTGGAACACCGGGAGAGCTTTCCAAATTGCTGCAGAAATGAGAAGATACAACCTAGAGGTACTTGGGATCAGTGAAACACATTGGACGCAAGTTGGACAACAACGACTAACTTCAGGAGAGCTTCTGTTATACTCCGGCCATGAAGAAGAAAATGCCCCACGTACACAAGGAGTTGCATTGATGCTGTCCAAACAAGCGCAAAATGCGCTTATAGGATGGGAATCTGATGGACCAAGGATCATCAAAGCCTCGTTCAAAACAAAAAAGGAGGGCATTACAATGAATATCATCCAATGATATGAGCCTACCAACGACTACAATGAAGACGCTAAAGACCAATTCTACAATAGGCTGCAGTCAATCGTCGAGAAGTGCCAAACAAAGGACCTGACCATTCTGATGGGAGATTTCAACGCCAAGGTTGGAACGGACAACACTGGATATGAAGACATCATGGGACGACATGGACTGGGAGAAAGAAACGAAAATGGTGAGAGATTTGCAAACCTATGTGCCTTCAATAAACTGGTTATAGGTGGCACCATATTCCCAAATAAACGCATTCACAAAACCACATGGACTTCACCGGATCACACCACGCAAAACCAAATCGACCATATTTGCATCAACAAAACGTTCAGGGGGACCATAGAGGACGTGAGAACCAAGAGAGGAGCTGATATAGCATCAGATCATCACTTGCTGATCGCCAAGATGAAATTGAAACTCAAGAAGCACTGGACAATGGGGCGGACAATATCACAAAAGTTCAATACGGCCTTTCTTCAGGATACTAACAAACTCAACAAATTCAAGATAGACCTCAGCAACAAGTTCCAGGACTTTCATGATCTACTCAATGGAGAAGGAACTACTGTGGAGAGCAACTGGAAGGGGATCAAAGAGGCAATCACTTCAACATGTCATGAGGTCCTGGGTCACAAGAAGCACCATCACAAGGAATGGATCACTGTTGATACACTGGATAAGATTCAAGAAAGAAGGAACAAGAAAACAGCAATCAATACCAGTCGAACAAGAGCAGAAAAAGCCAAGGCACAAGCTGAATACACAGTAGTAAACAAACAAGTGAAGAAGAGCATCAGAACCGACAAACGTAAATATGTGGAAGATCTAGCAAAGACGGCGGAAAAGGCTGCAAGAGAAGGGAACATGAGACAACTGTATGACATAACAAAGAAACTCTCTGGAAATCACTGCAAACCAGAACGACCAGTGAAAAGCAAGGAAGGCGAGGTAATCACCAACATTGAAGAGCAACAAAACAGGTGGGTAGAACACTTCAAAGAACTCTTGAATCGACGAGCTCCACTGAACCCACCCAACATCGAAGCAGTACCCACGGACCTCCCAATCAACGTTGGCCCAACAACAATTGAAGAAATCAGCATGGCCATCAGAAAAATCAAGAGTGGTAAAGCAGCAGGACCAGACAACATCCCAGCAGAAGCACTAAAAGCAGACGTAGCGGCAACTGCAAGGATACTCCACATTCTCTTCAATAAGATTTGGGATGAGGGACAAGTACCAAAAGACTGGAAAGAAGGACTCCTGATCAAAATACCGAAGAAAGGCGATCTCAGCAAGTGTGATAACTACAGGGGCATCACTCTTCTTTCAATACCGGGAAAAGTCTTCAACAGAGTATTGTTAACCAGGATGAAGGACTGCGTAGACGCCCAACTTCGTGACCAACAGGCAGGATTCCGTAAGGATAGATCGTGTACAGACCAAATCGCAACTCTACGGATCATTGTGGAACAATCAATTGAATGGAATTCATCACTCTACATCAACTTCATTGACTACGAAAAGGCACTTGATAGCGTGGACAGAACAACACTATGGAAACTTCTTCGACACTACGGCGTGCCTCAGAAGATAGTCAATATCATACAGAGTTCATATGATGGATTACACTGCAAAATCGTGCATGGAGGACAGTTGACAAAGTCGTTCGAAGTGAAGACCGATGTTAGGCAAGGTTGCTTACTCTCACCCTTTCTCTTTCTCCTGGTGATCAACTGGATCATAAAGACGTCAACATCTGAAGGGAAGCACGGGATACAATGGACATCTAGGATGCAGTTGGACGACCTAGACTTTGCAGATGATCTGGCCCTTCTATCCCAAACGCAAGAACAAATGTAGGAGAAGACGAACAGTGTAGCAGCAGCCTCAGCAGCAGTAGGTCTCAATATACACAAAGGGAAGATCAAGGTTCTCCGATACAACACAGCATGCACCGATCCAATCACAATTGACGGAGAAGATTTGGAAGATGTAAAAACCTTTACATATTTAGGCAGCATCATTGATGAACAGGGTGGATCTGATGCAGATGTGAAGGCGCGGATCGGCAAAGCAAGAGCAGCATATTTACAAGTGAAGAACATCTGGAACTCAAAGCAACTGTCAACCAACACCAAGGTCAGGATTTTCAATACAAATGTCAAGACAGTTCTACTGTATGGGGCGGAAACCTGGAGAACTACGAAAGCCATCATCCAGAAGATACAAGTGTTTATTAACAGTTGTCTACGCAAAATACTTCAGATCCGTTGGCCGGACACTATTAGCAACAACCAACTATGGGAAAGAACAAACCAGATCCCAGCGGAGGAAGAAATCAGGAAGAAGCGCTGGAAGTGGATAGGACACACATTGAGGAAAGCACCCAACTGCGTCACAAGACAATCCCTCACATGGAATCCTTAAGTCCAAAGGAAAAAAGGAAGACCAAAGAACACATTACGCCGGGAAATGGAAATAGACATGAAAAAGATGAACAAGAATTGGATGGAATTAGAAAAGGAGGCCCAGGACAGAGTGGGTTGGAGAATGCTGTTCGGCGGCCTATGCTCCATTGGGAGTAACAGGCGTAAGTAAGTAAGTAAGTAATTTGTTCTCTCAGGATCCTGGACCCCATGTGCACCATGGATTGGAGATCAGGATTTTCCAACTCTCCTAGGTGACTCTCCGTGTCCACCAATCAGGTTAAAGCACAAGACATTCGCTCTTCGTCCTCTTGATTTCGTAAACAACACCCCCGCCGCGAAAAGGCAGTGATTAGGGCTTCCATGGTAGTGGTTGTATTCACGTGGCCATGTGAGAGCATTTCGAGAGGGAGAGCTGACGCTCCTCTACCTCGGCCCTACCAGAGCATGTGGGGACTTTATGTGTTTTATGTGTTCAGCATGTATGTGACGACTAATAATGTCACTAATTAACCTAAATCAAAGTATATATCATTTGAGCAAATAACTCAATTATTAAAAGCCGGATACTTTACATGTTTATATGGTTAAAATGATGGTTTGGTTGAGAACGATAAATGTTATTTGTTTAGTTAGATTTTTAAAAGTTCCTAATGATACTGTGTTCCCAAAATACATAAGTCGAAACAAACTACATGGATGGTCACAGTGGTTTTATCTTACTGATCAATGATAACAAAACTATAATGAATTCTAAGATCACTCAGGACTAAATCTTTTGCAAAGCAACCAACAAATGTTTACCATGAATTTTTTTCTGTCTCAGCACAGAAATGTGTTGTGTCGATAATACCCTATTTTTATATTAGGAATTTTTTTCAGAAACTTTTGAATCGTACCGAAATCCATTTAAATCATACAAGAAAATCTGACAACTCTGTGTAACTTGAAAATTTTCCAGTACAATCAACAGTAGAAGCAGTTGTCATCTAATTAAATAAAAATATCGATTTTAAGAATGTCTAAATAATCTGAATTCGCTTCCCCAATCACAAAGACGAGTAGCTGAAGCATTCTATGGTATAATACATCACACTGCTCACAATAAAGCGTATCACTTCATACATTTCTAAACCAAAACTTATAACGACGGTAAGCTACTATGAGGCGCATAACCTAGAGAACTTAACTTCATCGTCAACAATCCAAGTTCTCAACCACTAGTAATAGGATCATAAGCTCAAATTAGAGTGTAAACACTTGAATAACTCGAGTGTTCTCCCAGTAAGATATGTATTATTCATAGATTTATGCACAAAAATGTACTTAGTTACTGAAATGCAAACTTAGCTGTATATGATCTAAGCTCAGGTAAAATAAATGTGAAATAAAATCAACTTACCAATGCTTGGAAAGTCATATTCAGGTCTGAAGTACTTAAGAGCAATTACTTCAATTGTGTCACCATAGAAATTCTCCTCAAATATATGGAGTATATGGACTTCCTATAATAAATTAGACGATAAGAAAAAGGATTCCCTGACCACAGAACGCTTGATATTTTTAAAATAAGGATTCCATCCAATACTCATCACCATTTTATACACTGGAGTGTTGCTCAACTTAGCCCATCCAAAGTAAATACCATTTTTAGTTGAGTCTGGTATTTCACTAACAATAGATTCTTCAAGATTTGCTACATAGACCACCAATAAAGCAATAGGCGATAACATGCAACAAACCAGTTGGAATTCCTAGTTGTTTTGATCCTCTTCCAAAACCATGCACGACTTTACCAGATGCATAAAACAATGCTCCAGCTGTCAAATTAACAAACATCTCTACAAAAAAGGACGCTGAAGGCATACAATAAACTGTACAGAACGTACATAGATCTCATACAACAATGAAAATAGTTTGTTCTAACCCCGAAGTACGACCAAACGAACACTGAAACGGCCATAAATGAGAGAACACATATAAAACAGTCAGGTATAAATAGGGCAAGAATGTAACAAATTCTCATCTACTCTAAATTAGCACAATTCACCAAAACATATACCGACCATAAAACTGCATAATAATACCGTTGAAAGGTGATTTCAAATACAATATAACTTTGGTTTTTCTTGAATGACAACGGTGGTTGATAGAATGTAGATTAGTCTCAATTTATTCCGTTTCCTGCTCATTTTTACCAGTTTGCTGTAAATACGACAAATAAAAGTTTAATAAAGCTTATCGCTCTTAAAGTTGGGATGAATTTCATGAAATCGGTGTATCGTCGGACCTATTTTCGTAGTTTAATGGTTCTTGCTAACAAAATGGGTTTTGTGGAGAGTTTTAGAAATTTCACAGGTTGAAATCATGAGTCAATTGAATGATTTTGGAGTGTAAAATTATATTTTGTTATATGGTGTTGTCATTAAAACATAACATTGCCAATAAATTGAGGGTTCGAACAGTGCCCCTCCTAATTTGGTCTAGACATGGAGCTAATATCAGCATCTCTTGAGTACTAACCAAGTTCTAGAGCCAAGTACATAAATGTTGTGCTTGGTAAATGAGTTCCCACATGCAAACAACTCTTCAAAGGTACTTACAGTCAAATACTAGGCATCTGAGCATGTCACTCATCAAAGATCATAGCTTTAAATTGATGGATGAGAGTCTTGTGATAAACGGGAAAAAAAATGAACACCCCAACATTATCCCACTGCAAAGAAAAGCATGAGGTTTTCACATGCTTCATCATTATGATTTCTATATTTGCAGCTCATAAGTAAATTTGGACATAAACTAAAAACAGTGGAAAAATAAGCGACGAATTCAACAATTCATGTGTCAAAAACTGGCGAGGTTGTGTGAATCCTAACTGAATATTAACAAATATACTTTTATGCAGTTAACTTACCTTTTGCTTAATAGCTTGTTACGTGATGTAAACCCACTTAACGAAATTGCCGAAAAAAGGAATACACGAACAGCTTACCATCTACGGGCGCAAAATGCAACTGTCTACCAACAAACATAAATTGTCGTAGTTAACACTGCATATTCATAAATTCATGACAAATTACTACTCAAAACTAGAATGAGGATGTAACGGGTTTAAAACCTCATAACAGCAGTTCTGGTTGCAATTAACGAGATGTCCCGGGCTCATGCTATCGTTGATTGCTGCTAGTTTCTACCATCACTAATTGTAAGCTCATGCTACTTGGCTGCTGAGTTGTCATTTTATTTGTTCTTTAGTTTTTCTGTTCATCTTTCCTTACACATACATCTCTCCACATCCCTGTAGAACCTAAAGTACCTTTGTGATAGGCATGAAAAGATGCAGGTAGGATTTTAAATGTGTTGGATACTTTATTTTGATTAAAAGGGATTTTTATTATTTCGAAGTACCTGAAGTGTATCAAAGACGTAATGTTGTCGCGCGCTATCTAAAAAGGACAGTGGTATTGTTTCTCGTTAAATTAGTAAACTGTTTTGATCGTAAATTACGTATCAAAACTAAGATTTACACTTTAATTGAATCTACTCCAGTTAAGGTGATATTTTACTGAATTTTTTGGCTTTTGTGTATTTATTACACTCGGAAGCATTCTTGGTCGTTATCAAAGTACTTTAGTTAAGGTTTGACATCTTGCTAGAGTTGTCTTGTGGTTTATACTGGGATCATATTGGTGTTACACCTTGATCATACTAAAATGGTTGGTAGTACCCACAAATGTGGACAACCAAACTGCTTGTTCCCTGTGGAGGAGGGAATGCAGTGTGACGAATGCAATAAATGGTTCCACAAAATGTGCACCCGTTTAAGTCCCACTGCATATAAAAGATGTTCGAAGCCTAACTCACATTGGCTTTGCATGTTTTGCTGTGCCAATAAGGCATTGCTAATACAGGAGGCTATGAGCCTATTGGCTTTGGCCTGTAAGAAGAATGATGGCATATGTGCCGACAACACGGGCACTGACAGTGACGAATGTGTCAGTGTTGTTACGCAACGCCTCAAAAAACCGACTCTGAACGACGCAAAAGTGAAATCTCCGTTGATATTAAGAGGGGCAGTAGTACCACCTAGTACTGACATTGTTAATCATGCAACTTTAGTGGGAACCGACGATCTGGATAAAACAGTCACCGTTCCAAATAGTCCCAGTGTTACTAGGGATGAAAAATGGACTACGGTACGTAGAAAACGAAATGAAAAGAAAAAAGCTGTAAGCAGTACACAGGTAGTTAGTAACCCAATGGTGGACTCAAATTGTGAGCCACAAGTTGCACTACCAAGATCTGATCGTAAGAGTGAAATCCATCCTGGCGTAACTGAGAAGAAAAATTTAATAACATCGAATATTATGGTGAGCAATTTGCGGGAGTCAAATGACCCTGACCCGAAAATTAGACACGCGCATGACTTAGAAAAACTAGGAGAATACATTCGTAGTATTTTACCAGATAACTCCAAAGGAGTTCAGGTTAAAAAGTTAGTAAGAATAGGCAAGAGGACCGAGGACAATGTTGAACCCCGTCCATGCAGACTCCTTAAGGTAATCCTAGGATCGGAGAAGCAACGGGATCTCTTGTTAAGTAGCGCTCGTTGTCACGACAATTCTGACATCCGAGTTAGACCTGATATATCTCTCGAAGATAGAATAAAAAGGAAGAAAGCACTAGCTGAACTTGAAACCCGTCGGCAAAACGGCGAGGAAAATCTCCGGTTAGTGGGTTTTCGGATAATCAGGTCTTGGAAGCGAATGCTACCAAGGCCTGTGTGGATAGGCTGTTCTACTTAGGAGTTTTATATGCCAACGCTCGTAGTCTACGAAATAAGTTCTATGAACTAGAAGCACTAGTGGACAGGGTAAAGCCACTCATAGTAGCAGTGACAGAAACTTGGTTAGTCGATGACTTAGACATTACTCCAGAATTATCCGGATATCACTGCATCAGGAGTGACAGACATAGATGTAGGAAAGGAGGCGGCGTCCTGTTATACATAGCTAATAGCATAAATATCCGCTCCTCTACTAGAGATTCCCATGATAGCGGTACTTGTGAAGTCATTAGCTGTAAGTTGGCTATCGGATGTAGTACATTTATGCTCGGTGTCATCTATCGCAGCCCAATCTGCCTAGCTGATGACTTTGTTTTAGAGCACATTCATCTTTGGAGTGAAAATACCAGATGTTTGATAATAGGAGACTTTAACGCACCTGATATTAGTTGGACTGATATGACCACAGCAGGATCTATAAACTCCTTTGATAGTAAGTTCCTGATAACAATAATGGAGCATGCACTAGTACAGCATGTATCCCAACCCACACGTTTTGGTGTTAACCAGGGTTCTTCTCTGCTGGATTTGGTAATCACTCATGAGACTGAGGATATTGTCGACTTCAATATTCTCCCGCCGTTAGTGAACAGCGACCACGCTGTTTTGTCATTCACGTTTCGTACTAGGGACATGTTATACGATCAGGTTACACCTCGCCCAAATGTATGGAAAGCTAACATATCAGCCATTCAGGAATGTGCTGCTAAGACAAATTGGTTAGTAGATACTAGCATATCAGTTGAAGAAGCATGGTCTGTATTTAAAGGTAAATTTAAACTAGTTACGTCCCCGTTCATACCATACCTGATACCGCGAAGACCGAATAATAGTCCACCATGGATAACTAAAACGGTCAGGAAACTCCTTAGAAAAAAGGAAGAATCACTGGGATATGTTCATCTCTACTGGCTTAGAACAATACAGATCCAGTTATTGTAAGATTAGGAATGCCTGTAAAGCGTTAATAAGTAAGACTAGGCTATCATACGAAAAGCAATTGGTTAGGGATTCTAGATATAGTCCGAAACGGTTATTCTCGTATATAAAAAGGCGAACTAAGAGAAGTGATGGAATTCCATCACTTTTGATACGAGAAAATCCGTTAATCTTAGCAGACAATGATGCCGAAAAAGCTGAAGCATTATCGGAATACTTTAGTAAAGTGTTTTCTATCGGTAATGAGGAACGACCAATGATTCGTTGCGACCGTGACGGCTCGCTGATGGATCCTGTAGTCATTGAGAAAGATACTGTTTTAAGGCTACTCCAGCATCTCAAACCTGATAAGTCCAGTGGTCCTGACGATATTCATCCTAGGATTATGAAAGCCATTTCACATGAAATTGCTGAACCATTAGCGATACTATTCGACATGTCTCTGAGACAGTCCAAACTGCCTAGAGACTGGAAAGACGCCATAATAAGTCCGGTGTATAAGGCTGGGGGTAGGGATTTAGTTAGTAACTATAGACCCGTTAGCTTAACTAGTGCAGTTGTAAAACTGATGGAGAAAATCATTCGGATAGCTGTTATAAACTATGTTGAAGGGCAAAACCTTTTCTCCAGGGAACAACATGGTTTTCGGAAAGGCCTATCTTGCTTGACAAATCTTCTCATTGCACGAGAAGATTGGGCTGCGGCAAAGGATCGGAATGCTCCTGTGGATGTGATTTTCATAGATCTAAGTAAAGCCTTTGATAAGGTTTCCCACTCTGGTCTTAAATTCAAACTGAAACGTTTTGGAATCCATTATACAGTCGTCGATTGGATAAGTAACTTTCTCCATGACAGGAGACAAAGGGTAAGGGTTAATGGGACTCTCTCCTCGTGGGTACCTGTAAAAAGTGGGGTTCCCCAAGGTACAATCCTGGGTCCTCTTCTCTTTTTACTTTAGGTAAATGAATTGCCAACTGTAGCAAAATCATCCGTTCTACTCTTCGCTGATGACATAAAGATTTGGAGACCCATACATAGTATGTCGGATAGGATA